CTTTGTGCTGAATATTTTTAACCTCTGGTTTGGTACTAAGTCTACGTTAAGAAATTTTCACATATTCCTTTTTATTTATAAGCCGCACATGAAACTAGTGTGCCCTGCACTATGGCGTTCTTAGTGTATGATATATTTACTATTCTTACAGAGTCAAGCCTCCTGCTTTGCGGCTCTATCAACAGCTGGTTGTGGTGATTATGAAATCATAGGTATTACCTCTTCAATAGGTATGACTGGTACAATTAGTGGTGCAACTCCAGAAAATAATACTACTGGCGAAAACGGATACACCTCTCGCTCCTCGAGTGTTACAAAATCTTACTACAAACGATGCCATAAAGTCGATCAAATACTATGGAGCCTGCTGCGGTTCAGGCTCTGATTGCCTAGTTCTCTAGGTACGAGTTTTACCTCGACCACATCCTCGTCCCGACGTTTATAATATCAAGAGGAGAGCTTAAAGGACACAGTAAATGAGGTCACAAATATATATATACACATAATGTATCACAATACTTATTCATGACATACAGTATTCACGCAAATACTTTAAATCAACATAAAATAATTGTCATAAAAAAATTTCCAAAATTTTGAGATATATGCACATATCGTCCTCACACATTCTAGGAAATTCTTAGCGAACTCTATACATGAATCCTAAAAAACTCTATTCTAGCTCCACGACTCGACATGGGATGATCCTAAGGTACTAGAACTAGAGCTCTGATAACAACTGTGATGCCCCAGGATTCACACAAGGCTAAAGTCCAAGGTGAAACCCGAATTGTAAAACCCGTCAAGCACCAAACACCATGCTACGACATGTTTCACCATCACAGTCACTATCTCTCTAGTGGAATCAACAAATAGGTGAAGATACAAAACATGCAAATAATAGAAGTAGTACAAAATCAGATATGCACTAAAGAAGTATATCAATAAATAAGCCAGCTGAAATAGAATGAAAATATCTCTGAGTCTGAAATACATCTTAACACAATGATTCAAATAAAATCTCACTAGGGCACTCAGCCTCTACAAAAAGAATACAACTCTAAAGTCTGAACAATGAACATAACTATACAGTGGAGCTTCAGCTACTAAGACTGTGCGACGGCGATTATGCTAGAACTTCGTCATCCTGCGGCTCTTCGAAACTCTGATTTGCCTGAAAGAGAAAATTTAAATAAAAAAAACAACAACAAGAGCGTCAGAGCGCTATAGAAAGATTACCTTCATCCGCCCCCAGGGAAAAGGTTGCTAGATTTAGTGGATGCTCTATCTATTAAGCATAGTCTACCTATATCATTTTTCCCGTATCTAATGGAGTTAATATTTAGACACCTACAAGACGAGACGTAGTACGTCGAGTGAAATAATCCAAACAAGGAAACTCTCATATATATACCATATGTCTCAAATTGTAGATCCCTAAATACCAATTCTAACTCTATGAATGAAAAATAGCAAACAAAAGGAAACACTCCAAACCTCAAACATGTAAAATAAACATCTCATCTCGATCTACACTTGATTAGACGGCTCTAATATAAGGGGATTACATCCAAATCAAAAGTCAACCATAAGCCATATCATGTACGCTACGATATCAAAGAATGTACCCTACTTACGGGGATCCAATATGGAAGCAAAACTACAACTGATAATACTTGTGTGCATCTCCTAGTGCAATCGCGATACTTTTATAATATTCTTACTCAATCGCTCTGTGGAAATATGTTTTATCTTCCTATTTCGGATACATGAAATGATGATACTTTTGTAATACTCTTATCAATCTTCCTACGAAAATAGGTTTTTATCTTCCTATTCTGGATACATGAAATAACGATACTTTTATAATATTCTTACTCAATCGTCCTGTGGAAATAAGTTTTTATCTCCCTATTCCGGATACATGAAAAATGACTATACTCTCTCATATGTATTCATCAGCTCAACATGCGACAAAAATATGTTAACACAACATAATCTAAGTATACGTACACATATCTCAATGTGTGTGTCCATAACTGGTGTTCACCATCATCTCAAGTGTTAAACAACTCTTAAACGTTATAATATATCAGTACAAGATTGAGAAACTCTCTCGAAAATCAAAACAAAGCCAAACAAACATGAACAGACCAATTGCCAGGTTAGCAGTCGACCGCAATTATGCGGCGGTCGACCACGATAGGTGTTCAGTGTTGCCCAGGCTTCTACCTAGCATGCGGCCAACTGCCATTTATACGTGGTCGACCATGGACAGTTTTTCCAGACTGTGCAGGTTTATGCACCGTGTTGTGTTCATGACGATTTTTGTGATTCAAATTTGTTTAAAACAACGTGAAACTTACATGAAAGAATATCAATAGCAGATAAATACTTCTGGAACCAAACTCAACATATATAGCATGATTATTTTCATTTAAGAAACATGCTTAAACCCTTAAATTTGCATGAAACATAAAACAAATTCTTGTGTTAATCAAATTAGGGGTTTTTAACCTAATTAACCAAATTCTTCAATCTAAAGCATGGACTTTTAACATATTAAACATACGTATAATTGCAAAACAACTTAGAAAAGATGAACATTCATTTAATCATGTTTTTAATACTTAGGTCTTACAAAACTAGGGTTTTCTCATCTTTAATCCACATGTAAACTCAATTAAATGTTAAATTAGGGTTTAAACATGATTAGAACATGGTTAACAAGTTAAAAACGAAATTTTAAAAAACCCTAATGATCATTATCACATTTCTATTATAAATAGCAAGAAATGCATGTAAATCTAACATTTGTTTAAGATCTAACAATAATTATCTAATCTTTTTTCACATTATATTAAGATCTAAGCATGTAAACACAAATTAAACTTCTAAGCTAGTTATTTAACTATGGGGATGGGTTTGGATGCAAGTGATCTTGTCTTTGCATGTGAACAAGCCTCTGAAATGAACATCTAATGATATATCGATGCCAAACATCACAATTCCTCGTCTTTCCTTCGACAAACACCCCGAGATCTCTCCTAAAACTCACAATTAGGGTTCGGGTTTGAGAAGAAAGGTTGATGGTGTTAATCTCACATGAAAGAGGGTTAAAAGAGCTTTAAAATGAGTATATATACATAGGGTAACAACTGGGTTCGGTATAAACAAAACCCAACCCGAAACAAACCTGGCAGAAATAGATTCGTCCAGCGGTCGACCGTCGCGGTCGACTGCGTAGGTTTCTGGGCCATGCTCAGACTGGGGTTTGGTAAAAAGGCTATAAATTTCTCATCCGATCTTGGAATGAGGTGATCTGAGATTTGTTGGAAAGCTCTCAACTGGTCATTATTCCCAGATTTTCACTCTTTTGGCCTTTGTCCATGTTTTGTGCATTTGCACTCATATTTTCATAAATATACATTGAATTTATTTCAAATCAGGTCTTATCATATTCAAACATCAAGATAAGTTATTTTTTACTATATAACATATTTATCATTATTTATCATAAAATATTCAAATTTACGGGGTTTTACAAAGATATACCTTATAAGGTTAACAACAAAATTATAACCATAACAACGAACTCCAAACCTTAACAGCCGACACATAACCTTAACAACGAACTCTTAACCTTAACAACAAACTTGTAAACTTAACAGTCGACACATAACCTTAACAACAAACTCTTAACCTTAACGATGGACTTGTAACCTTAACAACGGACTCATATACTTAACAACAAACGGATAACCATAGTAACTAAATCGTATACGTAGCAGTGAACTCATAACCTTAGCAACAAACTTAAAACTATCTCATAAAATCAGGCAAACAACACATAACCTTAACAACCAGTCCATAACATTGACAACCAACTCATAATCTTAGCAACCAATGTATAAGGTTAACAACCAACTCATAACCTATCAGTGAACTCATAAAGAACTTAAAAGTAAAATATTTACACATTTTCTGGAGCAGTTTGGGTGTTCTGAGAGGTTGAGGATTCCCTAGCGGAGGTAGCATACAAGTTTACGTCTGTAAATCCATTACGACGACAATACTCGAACTTAAACTCAAGTCCTCATTATTATCAATTGAAATACTGAATTTCTTTTCCCTTTCACATATGACTTTCAGTGAAAGAGATTACATTGGTATTTTAAGCCTTTGTGACACTTGATATTTCAAGCTAATGATTTATGTATTCCCTTTGATAATTGTGAAGACACTGTCACCCTCTTAGTTGCTTTTTACGTTTGTCACCATGCAAAGAAGGGTTACATCCATCATTTTAAATAAGAGTAGTTGAAAAATCGAAGAGGATTTATTGAGGAGAATTAAGTGGTCGGGGAGTAGTTGGGGTAAGCAAACGGGGGGGAGATGGTTTTACTACGGGAGGGGGAATAGATATGTTAATAATTTGGAGGGAAATGAGTTTTTTTCCTCCAAAACCCCATTCTAATCACCAATTAATGCTACATTATTATTCTCGGATTTCCGGCTTGATAGGGTGACGGGCTGTATAAGAGCATTTTGGGAAGAGTATGGTTTTAAACGTCGTTTCACGTGGGGGGTGTTTTGGGGCTAAAGGAAAATCACGACAGTTTTTGGGGGTTTTTGGACCGTTGACAAAGTCGGGGGGAGGGGGGGGACTCACTCGTTTTGGAGGCCAGAGGTAATTTTCCCTTTTTAAGATAGCAATTATATCCATGTTCATGTGGAAGACGCTATCTTCTCATTGTCGCCAAAAAGAAAAAAAAAAGCAAAATAGTTTAAATAGTCATGTGATTAGTAACTTTTAATTTTCAAGATCAAATTTTACTTTTCGAAGGGATCAAATTTCTATCAATCAACAAAATCTTAGGAGTTCCTTATAATTAACCATTCTCAAAGTGACAAGCTTTTGTTCTAGTCTTATTCTATGTTGTAATATTCAGATCATATGATTTAATTTAATAAACTGTGATTTTCATAATTTGGTGATTATGGTTGCAGCTGGTGTTTTGGATCTGCAGTCTGCTGCTGACCTTTTTGGGATACATACTTGGGATATCTACGCCCAGTATGTATTAGTTGGATGATCATAGTTTTTCTTTCCATGAATTGCTAAATGTATGAATGTATGTTTTGAGACATGACGTGGAGTTTAATGTAATATGAATGTATTAGTTTGCATTTAAGTTTTTTGCCTCCTTTAATTCTTTTTGACCCCTTGGATTTGGATGTTTGGTGTGTCCTCTAGTTAAGTTGTGAGGAGTAAATCACAAACTATTTGAACTTGTGTTTATTGTAGCCTATGTTGTAATTTTTTTGGGTGCCAGAATCTTGGCTTAGTATTAAGCAAGTAAACCCCTAGGTATGTGGCCACCCTTTCTTGTCAACAGCACGAGGATTGCAATACCTAATAATTATTCACTTTTTAAGATATCGTCAATAAATCATATCATATTCCCTTTAAAAGCACGAGTTCATAAAATCTTTTTTAGACAAATATACCTCTTTATAGTTTGAACTACCTTATCTATAATCAAATTCTAATTTTCAATGGTCAATATTACCCTTCACTATTTTGAATATTTTATTTATATCTTAATCTATCCTAATCATAATCATATCTTATCCTAATCTTATGTGAACCATGTTTAGCTTAACAATTTAAAAAAACTAATATTAATATAATATATAAAACATAAAAATGATATTAGTTTGTTAAGATAAAGAAATTACAAGTAGATAACATATTATAATACATGAAGTATTACAAAAAAACCATAAAAAGTTTTAAAATTGTAGAAAAGACCCTAAAAAGTTCAAAATTATAAAACTCATCCAAATATCTCAAAACTTAAAATAAAAAATATGAAATTAAAAAATTAACATCAGTTTGCAAAAAAAATTAAAATTTACAGTTAACACCTCAATGTCCCAAAAATTATAGAAACACCCTCAAAAGTTTAAATTACAGACAAGCACATTAAAATTCTAAAATTTTAAAACTTACAAACAACACAGATGAATTCAAGAGATTACCATGATATACCTAAAAATTTTGACATTTAAATTTAAATTTTTTTATTAACACCCTCAATATCTCAAAAATTATAGAAACACCTTCAAAAGTTTAAATTATAAAAAGCCACCCTAAAATTCTATAATTTGTAAATAAAATAAGATGAATTCAAGATATTACCCTTAGACACCTAAAAAATTAAAATTTGCCAAAATTAACCTCAAAATTTTTAAAAAAACTCCTTCAAATTTAAAAATCGTAAAAAAAACTCTAAATTTTCAAAAATTTTAACTAGCACACATCAAATTCGTCGATTGGTAGACCGCTGAAATTTAATATATATATATATATATATATATATATTAAAATTTCTAATTTAGGGATTTACTATCCATTTTCAGCATCTAAGAATAGTCTAAGTTGATACTGGTAAACAAAAACAATAAGAATTGATTAAAAACATCCGGTTAATGGATAAAATTTTTAAAAATATTATAGATTAAAAATTATCGGCACTATATAAATTAAAGTAATTTCATATAATTTTAGTAATAAGTTGGGGTAGCCAAAATACATTCGTAACATTAATTGATAGATGTTTAAATCCATAGAAATGATAAAACACTATAATATTATACCTTAGCATTAATTGATTTTAATTTAGAAACTTTAATCTTTGACGTTAATAATATTTATAGGGTAAAAGAATACAAGGAATTACATATGGAGAAACTATTAGAATATTTAGAGATAACTTTAAAAGAATTGAGTTATTTCCATTGCAAATGGGAAAGTGATGGAAATAAATCTAAAATTCAGAAAACGTCAATGAATCACTTGAATTGGCATTAACATAAGACATATCTATTAATGAAGCACTGAATGAGTTACATTAAAAAATAATTTAATAACTTTATCCTAATCAAAGAAAAAAATCTCCATGGAAGACATAAGAAAAATTAGTAAGTATTCATAAATTCCATACTGTGTTCTTCAAATTAAATATTAGTATTATAATCTAAGAGAAATTGGTAATGAATAATGTAGGTATTTAGTTTAGATCTCTATAGAAAATGACAGGGATAGAGAAAAGGTAATATTATTGAAATAACAGAAATTCTTATTGGATGCACATCAGAAGAATTCATTTTAGAGGAAAATAAAGAGATAGCTTCTAATTTATTTAAGTAATAAATTAGGAACACAAAGAATTTTATATATATGACATTAATATTTATTCTCATTGAAATAGAAAAAAATCAAAGTCTATATTTTGAGCAGTTTGTGTTGAACATCATAAGTACATTTGACTTCTTTGTAAAGTTAAATGAGATGATAAAAAATTAACGAGCCTAGGAAAGATAATAGCATAAAAAATACAAAATTAGTCTGATGTCACAATTGATGTAGATGATGAAGACAATACTCTAGAATTGTCCGAGAAATGATAAATGATAAACCTGAAGAAGGATTGATCTTAACTCAATAAAAAATAAAATAGAAGAAATAAAAACAAAATTTTATGAATATTTTATAGAATAGTTTAATTATTTTGAGTGAAATTAGGAATCTTTAGAAGAGAGTTTCATGAATTTTTTTCAGTACTTTTATATTCTTATGTGGATGTTTTTATCATATAAAAGTATACTAGAGTTAGCATAAATTTTTAATTTATATTTTTTTATGAAGTCTATCAATGATTAGGAATAAATTTCATATTTTCTTTTGCATCGTTTTAACATGCTTTAAATCAATCATTTTGCCATATTAGTTTTAAATATTCACCATCCTTGTATAACACTATTTTAATATTTTTCACTTTGCAATGCTATACTTTCTCAAATAAAGCTTAGTATCATATCGGTCAAAAATAATATGAAAATTCAAATTATTTTTAAATTATATTTGTTTTTTGTCTTGCACATCTCAATATATGAATAGGACTATATCAATGGACGATCCACTCCATTCATCATCATCTAAATGTCTTAAAACATCTACAAAATAAAAATCATGATGTTTGAATATTTCTAGCACATATTTTTCATTACCTCTTTGGTTGTGTTGTCATAAAACCGTTTATTTTACTACTACTTGATACATAACTAAATACAACCAAATATGCCTAATTTTTATTTTATATGCCATTCGAATCATATAGATCGAAATGAACAGAGTGGATCAAGTAGATTAATTGCATATAATCTAGTTTTGAAGGTGCATCCTTAGATTCAATCAAAGGTGGCTCATTAGAATCATATTTTACTATATATATATATATGAGATTAAATGGGTATCCTTGTCATAGGAGGGGATTTCCTCCTTGACGCCTCTAAAATCACATGATTGAGCCATATTGTGGATGATCCGCTCTGTTGAACTTGATCTACATATTCTAAAACCCCAACACACAAAGTTTAGGGTGAACCCGTCGTCGTTTGACCCTTCATCCACTCGTATCAATTTTAACGGTTTTGAATGACAACACAAACTGCCAAAAATACTTAATCATGGTATTAAATCACGTGCATTACACGTGTGTAAAAACTAGTTATTATTTAAATTGTATTGATTTAAAGCGTTTTAATTGTTAAAATTAAAATGGTTTAGGTTAGACCAAAAAGTTTGGTCTAACAAATTCAATAAATCAATTGAAGTCTGGTTCAATTATTTACCTAAATCGGGAATAGAACTTTTCACATGGCTCGATGGAGGGTCAAACGACGACAGATTCACCCCAAACTTGGTGTGTTTAGGTTTTAGAATATGTAGATCAAGTTCAATGGAGCGGATCATTCATAATATTGCTTAATCATGTGATTTTAGAGGCGTCAAGGAGGAAATCCCCTCCTATGACAAGGATACCCATTAGATTAATGAGTATCCTTGTCATAGGAGGGGATTTCCTCCATGACGCCTCTAAAATCACATGATTGAGTAACATTGTGAATGATCCGCTCTGTTGAACTTGATCTACATATTCTAAAACCCCAACACACCAAGTTTGTGTTGAACCCGTCGTCGTTTGACCCTTCATCCACTCGTATCAATTTTAACGGTTTTGAATGAATAGAACTCAATTATTTACCTAAATCGGTTCTCATCTCAAACTAAATTTCGCTAGTTTAAACTAAAGCTAGTTTAGAAGTAATATATCACTTATCTTTAATTTGTTTCAAGTTTGAGTTAGTTCTCATAATATTTTTCGAACTATACATAATCTGATTTATTTCAGACTAACCCATCTTAGAATTCTTCGTATTTAAATTTTTGATTGTTTTTGATGGATATCAAAGCGATTTTGTATGAGGGAAAAAATCCCAACTAAATTTTGTTTGCTTGTACATGCATTTTGTTGAGGATATATGTAAGAATATAAATTCAGGTGAAATCAGCACAAATTTAGGGAATCATATTTAATGCATGTCATAACATTAAAAACAAAAAAACAAACATTGTGTTTAATAAAAATCTAGGATTTTAAGCTCATGGGTCCCAAATTTTCATGAAAATAATTATGAAGTAGCTAAAGTAGAGATGATAGAGGTTATTTCTGCTACTTCTGAACAAATTAGCAAGTTTTTTTTTTGAAAAACATACTCTCAATATGAAGCTAGCCCGTGAACAGCTAACCATCGCACTGTAAAAATTGGATAAGTTCGATCTATGGTCATTGGTGGCCTCCTAAAAGGATCTACTAAATTCATCAAGTTGTTCCAAAGAATCAAAGGATCTACTAAATTCATCAAGTTGTTCCAAAGAATCAAAACGGCCGGTTATTAATGGAATCCCCTGTTGGCTCTCTGTGAAATATTCGTTTGGCCGAGGACTTCCAAATACGGCCGGTTATTAATGGAATCCCCTGTTGGCTCTCTGTGAAATATTCGTTTGGCCGAGGACTTCCAAATAAATCGTAAGCTAAACCTGTATTGACGAATAACCAACCTGCAATGAATAGGGAAGGTATAGTAATACTATGAATGACCCAGTATCGAATACACCTGCAATGAATAGGGAAGGTATAGTAATACTATGAATGACCCAGTATCGAATACTGGTAATAATATCACCAAAAGAACGTTCTCCCGTGCTTCCAGACATGCTGAGCTCCAAAAATTCTTGTACATTCAAAAAAAAGGGAATCGATTCCGCGAAAGATTGGATCAGTAAATAGAAAACCACTGATCTTTCATCTTTGTGAGATCGTCAATTTTGTACCAAAGGTGTATTTAGAGTATACCGAATCAGTATAGCTATCCTTCCTCTGGCGCAGCAACGCAGTTTCGATCAGTATCGAAATAAAATACTACATAATTTCTTTCTTCTTTTTTATTCCTTGTCTATGCATAATTGTATGTTATTCAATAGATCAATAGAAAATTTCTCAAATTCTTTATATTTATAAATAAGGTTTCTATTATTGACTTCGTAATAGTAATAGAAAGTAAAGATCTTGGGAAAGTGTGAATCAATGGGTTCTAATAATTCCTGAAAGTGAAAGATAGTAAGTATTATCTTCACACGATTCAATTATATGTAAAATCTATAAACAAACATTTTTTTATGGTTCAATTTTTTTTTGTTCGAATACTTTCATTTATTTCAAGTAATTGATTGGTCGTACAAAAAATAAAATATACTATAATAGATTGATTATAGTAGATAGTATTTGATGAAAGAAACAGAACATAGTTAGAACAATAACTATTCTATTCGCAACGCAACCATTGTTATATTAGATCCAAAACAAAGGTTCTTTCTTGTTCGTGACCGAACTACAAGATGAAACTTCTTGATATGGAAAAACAAAAAATAGAATAGAACCTAAAAGGCTAAGGGAAGTTTCTTTTCTTCGAATCGAGTTGGACTCGAAATCAAAAATGAAAATAAAGGTTTTTCGATAGACCTGGGACACTTTTTTCTTCTGATTTGAGATATTATGGGCAATTACCCAACCTATTACTGAACTGAATCCGATGGTTTTAAATAAGTATAAAATTAGAAAAAATCTAAAATGAAGTAAAAGTTGGTATCAAGCCGTTTTCTCCAAAATGGACTAGATCCTAATTCAACTCACAAATTGCACTGAATCCATTGATTCAGAATTACAGGATTGGTTGATGTCACAGCCAACATATGAATCCATTTTTTTCTACCTATGTAATTTGGAATTCTATTTTTTTTTTAGTGCTATCTATAATGACTGATGAATCAAGAACTTTCCATTAGAACTAAACTAATTCTGTCAATTGATTTTTTCTTACCGTCGTATCCGAAAAAATTGAAACTTAGGTAAGTGTTTTATCAACATATGTAGCAAAAGCTGTCGGTCGACCGGTCCGGTCGACCGATGAAAATTTTCGGTCGACCGACGAATTTTCCGGTCGACCGACGAGTGATTTTTCTGCTTCCAACGGCTAGTTTTTTGACCGTTGTTTTGGGGATGTTTTTGTCTTTTGCTCTGGTTTGTTGGCTGAGTTGTGAGAGGGTATAAATACCCCATTGTCTTCAACAGAGTTTTTAATCAAGTTTAATAAAGTTTTTAACAAGGGTTTTAGTTTGGTTTAAGTGTGTTTAAAAAGCTTTTAAGCAAATTGAGAGTTTGTTTTGGTGAATCAAATTCCACAAGAGCTTGAGGAGATTATCTATTGAAGTTTGAGCTTCCAACTATCATCCCTCCATCTCTTGTTATCAAATTGAGAAGTTTTCTAAACTCAAACTCTAGCTTTACATTTATATACTTGATTGATTATCATTGTTCTTAAGCTAGATTTAATACTTGAGTTTAGTTGATTTGATCTTATTTACTCATTGTTACACACACACCCACATTGAGCTTATTGTATCTTTCATACATAGTATAGTTGGGTGGTGAGAGATTGTAATCTTGAGTTGTTCTTTCATTGTGTTCTCATCTATTGTAGAGAACAAATTTATATTTGTTACATTGTGAGTGTTGTAAGGTTTTCGGTGAGCTAGAAACCGAGTGTGTAGTGAGGTTTTCGGTGAGCTAGAAACCGAGTGTGTAGTGAGGTTTTCGGTGAGCTAGAAACCGAGTGTGTAGTGAGGTTTTCGGTGACCTAGAAACCGAGTGTGAGGAGTGACGTTGATTGGTGAGCGTTGAAAACCGACACTGTGAGGTGTAAACGTTATTCGGGTGAACGTAGAAAACCCGGTTGATAGTGGATTTCTCCCCGGGAGTGGGGAGCGGAGACGTAGGACGGAAGGTCCGAACTCCGTGATCATATTGCTTGTAGCATGGATCAATAAGAACCCTCAAACCAAAAATATGAGGAATAGGCCTAAAATACTTATTAAATTTGCTCTCCATTTCAAAAACCATAGGTCCAAAAGTAGCATCCAAACGATATTTATCAAAAATTTTTTGAATATTTAAAATTTGTAAAGCAGCTAAAGTAATGGTTGGATAATAACAGCCAGATAATAACATGGTAGCATCATAAAAAACTTGTAACATTTCATTTAAATTACATATAACTGTCCATTCATCTTCAGTTATTCCATAAGTGCTACCAGAACTAGAACTAGAAGCATAATAGTTTATAAAATCAGTTATAATGTCTTTATATTCTATTGCTACACTTAACATTGCATATGTGGAATTCCACCTATGGTCAACATCTTTTGGAATTAGTCTAGGCTTTACATTTTTTCTTTTACAAAATTGTTTCCATCTTTTAAGTCTTTGTTCAGAAGCACTATGCATGTAAGCAACTGTTCTAACCTTTTCTATCATGGGTTTAATTTCAGTAAATGCACTTTGAACAATTAAATTTAAAATATGACAGATGCACCTAATATGAAAAAGATCACCATGACATGGCAATGATAAAGATGATCTGATAAAATCAACAGCTACATTGTTATTACTTGCATTATCTAGTGAAAGAGAAAATATTCTTTGTGAAATTTCTAATTTCATAAGTTCTTCAATTATTAAATTTGCAACATTAGCACTAGTATGTGACTCTTCTATTGCAATAAAAGAAACAACTCTTTTAAACATTTGCCAATTTTCATCAATCCAGTGTGCTGTGATACATAAATATCCAGTTTGTGCTCTAGATGTCCAAATATCAGAAGTTAAAGAAAATTTACAGTTTAAAATTTTAAAATAAGAAAATTATTTTTTCTTGTTCTTGCTGATAATATTTTAAAATATCACGTTGATAGGTTTGACGAGAATTTTTTTTAAATGCAGGATAAAAACCATCTCTAAACATATCTTCAAATTCATCATCTTCTACTAATTTAAAAGGAAGGTTTTTAAGAATGATAAACCTGATTACACATTTCCTGGCTCTGACAGCGTCATAGTTCTAACTACCGAGACTACCAGAAGAGGAGGATTGAGAAATCATAGATTATCGGATATCACCTTTAGGAGTCTGGCCTTTGTTGTGTTTATCTAAATGGCGTTTGAGGTGGTTGGTGCCGCTCTTATGATGAGCTTGAAAAATCTTGCCGTACAAAGCACACTTAGCCTTCTAAGTGAGGATCCTACCGTGTTCATCCTTGGTGACGTCGATCTTCTCGTAAAAATTCCACACATCGGATCTTGGCCGTTTAGGAGCTCTTGGTGCAGATTCGTCGCCACCGGATTCGAGATTAACTTCGGTAGGAGGACTCATAGTAGGAGGACTCATAGTAGGAGGACTCAATTCAGGATCGGGAGATATGTTTTGCTCTTCATAATCAGATCCGGAAGCCATTTGATGAAAGGATTAGAATGTATAAATAAGAGAGTATAAGAGTATAAGAGAGAGTATAAGAGTATAAGAGAGAAGAGATGAGTTTTTGGTGTGAAGAAAACAAATAAAAACCCCCCTCTATTTATAGAACCAGCCCCCTAGGCAAATAACCCCTCAACGTCTATATAAAGGATTACGTATGGGCAATATTGAAACTGTACTTTCGAGTAGTATCGCTGCTGTTTTCTTTGCAGCTTTTGTTGTTGCTGGAACTATGTGGTATGGTTCAGCAACTACTCCAATCGAGTTATTTGGTCCCACTCGTTATCAATGGGATCAGGGATACTTCCAGCAAGAAATATATCGAAGAGTTGGTGCCGGACTAGCCGAAAATCTGAGTTTATCGGAAGCTTGGTCTAAAATTCCTGAAAAATTAGCTTTTTATGATTACATTGGTAATAATCCGGCAAAAGGGGGATTATTCAGAGCGGGCTCAATGGACAGCGGGGATGGAATAGCTGTTGGATGGTTAGGACACCCCGTCTTTAGAGATAAAGAAGGGCGCGAGCTTTTTGTACGTCGTATGCCTACTTTTTTTGAAACATTCCCGGTAGTTTTGGTAGACGGAGACGGAATTGTGAGGGCGGATGTTCCTTTTCGAAGGGCAGAATCAAAGTATAGTGTTGAACAAGTAGGTGTAACCGTCGAGTTCTATGGTGGCGAACTCAATGGAGTCAGTTATAGTGATCCTGCTACTGTGAAAAAATATGCTAGACGTGCACAATTAGGTGAAATTTTTGAATTAGATCGGGCTACTTTGAAATCCGATGGTGTTTTTCGTAGTAGTCCAAGAGGTTGGTTCACTTTTGGGCATGCTACGTTTGCTTTGCTCTTCTTTTTCGGACACATTTGGCATGGGGCTAGAACCTTGTTCAGAGATGTTTTTGCTGGTATTGATCCAGATTTGGATGCTCAAGTGGAATTTGGAGCATTCCAAAAACTTGGAGATCCGACTACAAAGAGACAAGTAGTTTGATACAAGATTGCTGTGGTATCTTTCGCCTCTATTTTTTTTTGTTTGAATAGTTACTCGAGAAATATTGACTTGAATCACCTTCTTTTCTTTGATTCTTTCCCTTTTTATATGGTATGTTAAGAGATCCCGCCCAAACGAATAGGTGTGAAAGCTATAATTGTAAACCACGATCGAATCTATGGAAGCATTGGTTTATACCTTCCTTTTAGTCTCTACTTTAGGGATAA